TGCATCCAAGTTAAACCACGTTGAGGGGAGGAGTTCGGAGGAGCCGCCCCCTTGGTGGGAACAGCACTGAACACACGCCCTTTTCCTCTCGCCCCGTAGCGAGCTGCGCTCCTCGGGTCGGTTTCCCACTGCTGTTTCCCCCCTTTCCCCCTCCCCACCCCGAGAGGGCTCATTTGAAGTCGTGGGGAGGAGGAAACCGTGGGCCGCTTAGCTAAACGGACTGTGCTCTCCCCGACGGCAGAGGAGGTAGGTCATGGCGTTTGTGTCTGTAGTTGAACGGCGTTGGAGCTGGAGCGTGGAGTTGCAGGGGAATGTTAGCTCTTGCTGAACCGTGATAAATCTACGGCGTAGAGAGCTCGCCATGTATCTGAAAGTTTACTGTGGGGGGGAGGAGTGTATTCTTTTTTTATTTTCCTCTGGAAAGTACTCGGTGAACTTGTAATTTAAATTGTCTCTATAGAAAAGGTAAGAAGTTTCATAAGGTGTTCTTTGAATGCTCTGAATTTTTTTTTTATTCTCAAGACACTTTAAGTAATTGATTGTATTTTTATTCCCAGTAAGCCTGATCTGTTGTGTGGATCCTAGGTATTTTGGATCTTTTGGAATAATAAATATGAAATTCATTGCGGCTATAAAACCTAACATATTGCACACTTATAGGTGATAGCTTTCGTATTTAAGTAATATCTCTAATACGTGAGAGTCTAAAAAATACAAATGGGAACTAGGTCTAGTTTGCTAAGTAGGGAGGATTGGCACAGTGGTTAGTGAGACGGTTGTTTTTTCATAGCTCTTCTTTTTGAATCATAGAATAGTTTGGGTTGGAAGGGACCTTTAAAGGTCATCTAGTCCAACCCCCCAGTATTTGACCAACAGTGTATTCCTGCATGCAGAGGTGAAGGTGAATAAAGCTCAAAGTTCCAGACTTAAGGAATTGTCTCGGGTCCAAAAGGCGGCTGAACAGGATGGGGTATACCCTGCTCTGAAGCATCAGGCTTTGGCCTTTTGCAAGGCAGGATGCCCGACTAGATGGACTAGTGGTCTGATCTTGAATGGCAGTGCCCGTATTCTGAAATACGGTGGTGATGTGACTGCTGCTCAGGTGACACTTCAGTGTGTGTTCTGCTGGCGATTCACTTGCCAGCACTGGAGTCTTGCTACAGGTAAGGAAAGCGTTGTGCCTTTAAAAGTGTAGCTTCTAGGGTTTCTGGTATTAAGTTACTTTGTAAGCAACCTTTTCTTAAAAAAAATAATTTAAAAAAAAAAATCTGCAAAATCCTGCAGTGTTGTGAAAGACCTGACTTGTCTTACCCTCAGTTGACAGGCGCTGGTCTACAGGAAAATTAAGTGCCAAAGTCCAGCAGGCCGTTAGTAGCAGAAAACCTTTTGGCATGTGTCAGGGGTAGATCTGGCAATCCACTATCTAGCTGTATTTAACAGCCTTTTCAGGGGAAAAAATGTAAATATTCAGAGGCTGGTACGTTATATGGCTCTACTTGGTAGTAACTGGGGAACTCTCCTAATCTAAATCCAAAACTTTTTGAATTGTGTAATTTTCTTTTTCTGAGTATCTTAGCTTATTGTTGGTAATACGGAAGTCTGGTGAAAGGTTCCTTATCAAAATAAGATTTAGTGTTGGAAAGATTTTTCTCTATTCAGAGGTCTTTGAATTCATTTGTCTGCTAGTTTCTAGTGAATATATACACACCTAAAACAATGAGCTTAACAAAACCCAACATATATCCCCAGTTTCTACTCTACTCATCGGTAGAAGATTGCCTTAAGACTGAGTCTGGTTGTGGAAGTCAGTTTCTTAAAGTTGTTAAGAAGTAGTAATGAAGTCCGGGTATTTACAGGCTTCATGTGCCTGGCACTCACAGCCAAGTACTTTCTACACAATTAAACTTCTCCTGGGTGGTTAATGATGGTATCCACGCTTCTGTTAGACAACAGCAGGAAGTAAAAAGTAAAGGAACCGACAGTTAGTGAACCTCTGTACCTCGTGGCTAACTCTTTGCAGTACTTCAGAAGAGCATTCGGAGTTGGTGGTTACATTATTATGTCCCTATATGTTCTCGAATGCAAAGGAAATAAACCATTTTGAGCTACTATTTTTATATACAGCATCAATTAATGTGTTTTATACTTAAAACTTTGACTTTAAATTCTGCTTTTCCTCGCCGGTCACTTTCACTTGCTGGTACTCCTCTCCTGCAGGCATTGCAAAATGAAACAGTGTGGGCAAGTATGGAAATCACAGGGGTTTTTTTGTTTGTTCATTTTAAGATTAAAGCCAGTTATGAATTGATCTGTCTCAGTGCTTCAAGGCTTTACGTACTTCATTTTTCTTTATTAGAAGCTCTTGAATCCCAGTCTTGCATTGGCATTACAGTGGAAGGGTGGTCCTTTGAAATTTTAGTTGCAGGAAAAAAGATACTTATTTATTAAATATAATTTGTCTTGTCGCCAGTGTTGTACCTGGACAATGTAAAGTACAAATATTGTGATTCTGCAAAACTTCCATGGAGTAGCAGGAAAGCAATGCTTTGTTGGGGATTGGCATTTAACTTGAGTATCAATGTGTGGTGGTGTCCAGAGATAAGCTATAGACACTTTCCAGATGCGTAAAAAGATAGGATCCTTGCTCTGAAAACTTTCTATCTAAAGAGAAACAAAGAGCAAGGTAGAGGTGCAAGAAAAATCAAAATACCAGGAACAACGCAGGTTGCGGAATTGTTGGGGGTTTTTTGTGTGTGTGTTTTGGGGTTTGGTTTTTTCCCCCTCTGATCTGCATCAGAACATTTCTATATTGTATTTTTGAATCTTCTCGATTGTAGTTAGGCTCAATGGAGGATGGGCACAAGACTGCTTAAACTGTTGCTGCATAAATCATTTCATTGTTTTATGGAGTTTCAAGTCATGTGTATCCCTAAAAATTCTGCAGATACCATGAGCAGTGCCTAGTCTTACAGACGTTTGGAGTTACACCAAGTCCAGACCCAAACAATGACCTCTGTAATTGGGAACCTCTAGTCGGTGAGTCTTGTCTGAGTACAGTTGTGCCAATTTTTAAATAGACTAACACCATAGTGACGTGGTTTAGGTACATAACTGTCACTAGGCTTCGATGTTTCAACTTGTGATGCGTAATTGTAAGTGACTGTCTGCTCATTTAAGGCCTAAATCTAGCACTGTGTATTTGTTTTGCACAACTTTGAAAACACCTTTAAGAAATATTTCCTATCTATGTATAAGAAAGGCACCAAAGGGGTGCTTTTAATGGCAGTGTTTATTGATAATATGTTGACCTGGAAGTGGGACCTTTACCAACTGGAATGGGAACCAGAAAGTGAAACTGACCGCTCGTGCCAGGCCGGCACCAGGCCTTTCAGGTGAAGAAAGGTCCATAACTTTTTTTCACAAATGCTTGGTTTGGTGGTTGTGTTGGTTAAATGCTGTAGTTTAAAAAAACAAACAAAAACAACCAAAAAACCCAACAAAAAAAAACCCCATCCCAGAAAACCCTCAGTAACCATTTCATCTGTCATTCATTTTACTTGCCATATTGTATAAGAGGATAGGTTGTTACTTCTGCTGGTAATCATTGGACCTAAACATTCCCCTTCAGTGCCTGATGAGATCAGTTACTAGCTTTCTGAAGACTCCTTCTAGCATTGCTGTTCAGTAGTATATGTATTTTTTTAAACTTGGACTTTATCTGTGGATTTTAATGCCTGTGGAAATATCTGGGGATCTAAGGATTCCCTTTAAACAAAACAAAAGCTTTCTAACTGATTGTTTGTTTGTATTCTGACATGTTGACTTACAAAGACTGAGGGTTTAGGGACCTCACTAGCTGATGGTAGGGTATTACTATACAGTCCTTATTTGGTTGTACAGGCATTTAGTGATCCTTTTAAATGTTAATATTGCTTTTCATCATTTCAAAACGTCAGTTTGGTAGGCATCGAGTATGGGTTGTAAGAATTACCGTGCATATTCAAGTTCTTATTAAATTACTTGAGTATTACTTTGCTAAGTAAGTGCTTCCGATGTCAAGTGTTGATGACTTACTAGATGAGTTACTGTTTCTTCCACAGATATTGGACTGACAGCTGTTACTTAAAAACTTATGCTATTGGGACCTCTCTATGCTTTTCCTCCCCCAGTTCTTTCTCACATGGCACTTTAAATGTTAAGCTGAATTAGCAAGTAAGTTATCTTAAAATTTCAGTGCATATTTTAAACCAGATTGAACAATACCCATCCCAGATGTCTACTAGACTGTCTTTTTATGCTCAGTCTAACTGAATTTAACAAATAGTTTATTTTTATGTCTGGTTGCTTGCCTTAACATCTTCTAGTTTTTGCTAGTGGCAAAGAGATGCTCTTCATTGACAAAACCAGCAATTTTTTTTCTGGCTCTTAATGCCAGTGAACTCATCTACTGCGTTTTTATCACCTTGGTGTAATAAAAGATGCAGTCTCTCTTTGCAGACTCATAGTTGCCATTAACAAACTCATCAGTGCTGTTAACAGTTCTAAAGTAAAACATAAGTTGATCTAAATGGGATGAATGATGAGTATAGAGTGAGGGGAACGGCAGATGCAAGAGCACTTTGATGCTTCTGCCCTTGTGAGCTTCTCTGGTTCTGTTGGGAAGACTTGCAAGTTTCTATATTCAGGAATATCAGCAGAGATATTCCTTCTTTCCTCTACCCTTCTCCTTGCCCTGCAAAATAACATCAGGCAAGCCAAACAGACTTACTCTTGTTTTCTTCTGCCAATTTTTTTTTTTTTTTTAAATACAAATATCACTACTCCTGTTCACCAGGTAGTGAGAGCCTAGCAGTATTTACTTTCTAGCTGAAAACATAGGATACAGTGCTTAGGAAGGGGAAGGACATAGACAGTGTTTTCCGTTAATGTTTTATCTGAATGTGTTACATTTTCAGCACCTGACTTAATATGGGTCTCTGACTGAAATAAGTAGGATGAAACTGTGTATGACCAACTTACTACAAGGTGGCAATATTGCAATTTCCATCTTGCTTGTTAGATCAGTGATGTCAGAAACCTTTTTTTTTTTTTTTTTTTTTTTTTACAAAGCGGCTAGAACAGAATATGTGGCAATTCTACTTTTTTTTTCCGTTTATACTTTTAGAGGGGGGGAAAAAACCCTAATACCTGATGCTTACACCAAATCAAGCATCTTATTTAGTAACTTTATTGTTATTCAGATGCTTACCAGAATAAATTACTGTTTTCACATGTGAGATGGGTCAGGAGGCAGTCCTCAGGAAGACTACCTGTTGGAACAGGAGACGGTACACCGTAACAAGCCTTGCCAATAGCTGTATTCCTAAACTGGTGTTTTGCCATATTCGGACTGTGAGTGAGCGAGCAGTGCTCTGTAGCACATTGCTGTTGTACTCTGTTCCACTCAGGCATACTCTGAAGCTTGGATGGGATTCAGCCTGTAGAAATATAATGACTGGTCTTGCCTTTCTTTTGTTTGGTTTTTTGTTGAGGGGTTGGGGTTTTTTTTTTTTTTTTTGAGTGTAAGAGGCTTGGTGTAGGGTTGAAATAAAATAATTACGCTCCTTCGTCTTTTGAAGGCTGCTGCTGTAAGCTGTGAATGGTACTTGTACAGGAGGGTGACTTCCTAGTCAATCTAATTGATTTCAAATGGATCAACAGCCAGCAAGCAACAATGACTTTTGGGGTATCTTTCAGTCTTGTCAGCAGTGCACGATGTTAATCACAAAGCGCCGTTCAGTTATGGGAACTGAATGTGCAATTCAACAGTCGGGCTCTGCAGTGCAGGAGAGGGGAAGGGCATTGTGGTTCATGTGCTGGATGGAGCTTGTGGTCCTCAAGTCTGTGATGCTGGGTAGGCCACTTAATCTATCGCTTGCCTGACTTTTCTAGCTGTAGAGGTGAGCTCACGCGATGATTAGTGCAAAATCAAGTTCATTATTGGCTTTGGGTCAAAGGGATTGTAAAAAGTGTGTGTGGAGGGGTGTCTGAATCTCTGGTGCCTTTTTCAGCTGTGCCTTCTCTTCCCATTGCACGTCAGCCGTAAGAGGTGGATGTTTGGAGTCCAAGTTTGACTGAGGCGTTATCAGCTCGAACTCAAATATAATTCAGTTACGCAGCTGTCTTGGTTCCCGTGAGTAGGTGTATTACAGGGCAGTTAACGTCTTGTCAATAAAGCAGTTGGGGCAGGTGCTGAGAAAGTAGCCAACAATTACTTATCTTTCGTTTGTTAGGTTTCGGTAAGTTGGAGAAACAGATCTAATTTTGTTGGCAAGCGAAGCATTGGTTTCAGTCATAGCTGCTTGTGTAGTTAATTTTGTATAGAATTGGCCATTGTATTTGCACTGTTAATGATACCTCGTTACCTGTGCTACTTTCAGTTTGGTTAGAGAGCGGAGAAAGTGCTGATGAGCCAGAGAAAGTATGGGTCCACGCTCATTTGATGTCCAAAACCATAGCTTGGGTGAAATGCCTGTCGTCTTCCATTGTTGTGCCTAGTGATGCAGTTAACCATTGTAACAGCTCTGTTACATCTTGTTAGAGGATCAAAGTAACTAATTGAGAAAGCTCCTAGAAGTCCCCCGTGAAAACTTAAAATGCTTCAGAAACAGGGATCACTTGGGAAAACAAAAATCTTGAGGAGAAGGTATGAGGGCAAGCATGTTTACATTGAGCTGTGAGAAGCAGAAATTCAAAAAAGAGCAGTTAGGAAATATTTATCTAATTCATGATAGTATTTGTGTGCTTGTTTTATACCTGGAATCCTAGTCTTAAATATCACAGCTTTGAGACAGGGTGTTAGGGGGAGCTCTGGCATAAAGTTCGGGCTGATGCATTCTTTAAATGCATCTTTAATCTTGGGGTGCAGATACTGCTTTAAAATAGTGCTTTCACTAGTATAGTTGTAACAATGATAGATGTATAGTTTTAATAATGAAAGAACCATGTAGCATAGGATAAGATGGCTCTTCCTCACTGCAGTCATGAGCCGTAAGAGAGTGCTACCTGTCAAAAAGCACTTTCACAATCTGAGAATATAATCCAGTGTATTATAATAGCTTCTTAGGAAAATGCTAGAATATACCGTGTGTTCATTTCTGACTTCAAAGGTATAGGTGGCTTATTTTATAAGTTTTCTTGGGATGTTTTTGGGCTACAAATCCTGCACTGGAAGCAAGAATACGGAACTTTCTTGTTACTTGAAGAAAGCTTTTGTATCTCTGAGGTTATGAATTGCTAATTATTTTTTTCCTCCCTGCTTTTTAACAGGAACAGGAAGGTGGTCGATTACTCCCAGTTTCAGGAATCAGATGATGCTGGTAAATGATTTTTTCTTCACAATATAATACTCTTGGGCTAGAGCAGTTCATTTATTGCTTTACATATTAATTGTTTTGCTTCTAGTCACATCTTTAACTTAAATTCTAAGGAGTTCCTGCTCTTCACAGTCTCTGAACTGTTAATAAGTTTTTGAAAATTTAATGATTCTCATATGTTTTGTATTAAACAAACAATGGTGATAGAAATCTTATTATTTAATGCTTGTATTGTTGTAGTGCCTTGAGGCTGTTGGCAGCAACTGTCTTCTTCCTTGGCCTATGTTATGTTCTGTGGCAGAATCTCCCTGATGCCACTCTTTTCTACAGTAAAATATGTTTTCAATTTATTTTAGCGGACTCTAGTTAATACCATAATGTCAGGCATTTTTGTGAACTGCATCTTGAGGGGAAAAAAAAAAAAAATCTTTGCATGTTCTGTGTGAATTAATGAAATATTTCTGGAAGCCATATGGAATATGTTTGTGTTCTTAGAAAATAGACATACTGCTACTGTTTGCTAAGTGAGATTGCACTGATAATTAATGGAAACAAATATCCATTATTCTGCATATTGCAGTCCTGTTACTCGTATTGTATAAGGTATTGTGTAATAGTTGTAAAAAGTTACACTGTAAACTACTATATAATGACACACGTTTTCCCATCCTAGGATAGTGAATAAACTGTTTGCTGTTAAAAGCATGTAGAAGTACGTAAGGATGTTAATTTTTAAAACGTTTACATAATAGCTCAGTTTCTGACTAGCTATAAAATTAAGATACTGTGACCTCTTGTGAGGCTTTTTGTATGTTTCGTAATACTCCTGTGTCAGACTTGATTGTACGTGGCACTTCTATTGTGCTGTTGGCAGAAGAAAAGGTAAATCACTAGTTTAAGACAGGACTTTGCTTCTATAAAGTTTTGTTTGAAGCTTTGTGATTTTGTTTTTTTTTTGAAGGGCTTCTTTTTGATGTGCATGAAATGGTCAGTTTAAGTTATAGCTGAGGAAGTCAGTTTGCTGGGAACTAGGAGTTTGATTCAAAACCATTTTGTACTGTCCCGTCCAGATGAAGATTATGGAAGAGATTCAGGTCCCCCATCCAAGAAAATCCGTTCGTCTCCCCGGGAGGCTAAAAATAAGAGGCGATCTGGGAAGAATTCTCAGGAGGACAGGTAAAAGAAGCGCTTCATCTGTTACGAACATGTCTCCAAACCTTGTCCTGTATGTGTGGAGCAGTATCGTCTAAGAGGAATGATTGTAAGTGGAATTCAAGGCCTGCAGTGTAAGATACAGAGCGCTCTCAATCACAAAGCTTGCATAACCAGTTTGGACATTGAGGTGGTTCTTTCCTATTCGAGTAGACGGAGAAATCGTGTGTAAAGTACTTGTCACTAGTTCTTTGTTGCTAAAATAGCCTTCCAGAGTTAGTTGGAATGGGAAGGAATATGATCCGAGTTACAAAAATTGGCAACTAGTGCAATTACCCAGGTAAGTTAGTGGCCAGATGCATTTCGTTTTCCATGTTTTTTCGGCATGCTCAGAGCATTCCTGTGGTTAAAGATTAAATGGGACGGTACAGTGGCAGTTAGGAGTAGGGGCCATTTGTTAGTTTTGTGGTTCTTTGTTTCCCATTTCCTGTTTTGTCTGATTTGGAAATACAGTAACATGTTTTGATAACTGAATTGCTCCAGCAGTGCGAAAGGACTCAATTCTAAGTGATGCCCTACTGAATAGTGAAATTCTGTCCTGTAGAGTGAAGGTATCTTCCTTTTTACTGCCACTGTGGTCAACAAATGATAGCCATAAGACCTATTAAGTCAATTGATTGCTTTCATAACAGACATCAACTTCAGGCATGGAGGTTCTGCCGGCTGGTTCTTATTCTGTAAGCCCAAGTTGTCTCTTTATTCTGTTGCACTGTTTGCTGGAATATAGGTAACTTACCAGCAGCTACGCTTAGGAGGATTCCCCGTCATGCTCCTGTTCTATAAGGTGAAAGCTGACTGTAGGTATGCCAGTATTTGCATGGTCCACCCGCTATCATGAACTGAGGGGGAGAGACTGTTTGCATCCTGGCAAATGCCTGTAATGCCTGAAATCAAAGATTTAATGGGTATGACATATAAAGAAATTGGGCTAGGCAGCTCCTAAAGCAACTAAATAGTTGCCCCTGATGTCATATTAGCTTTGGGGATTTTTAAGTATGTAAGACCACTTCTTTGTGTATCACAAACATTGCAGTGGGCTTGCATGTAGAACAAACTCATGTATTTAAGTGATTGAAATCCACAGTTGTCTGTATAAGACTGAAAACATGTGGGCCTGAGGGGCTATAGTGTGACAAGTTATCTAAACTATTAGAGTTTTGAGAAATGTTGTGTCAGCTCCAACTGCCAAATTTGAAAGTAGCAAAAGTTTGATCTATTGTATTTCTTGACCTTGGCAAACTCTGCAGTTCAGCCGTTCCTGAAGCATATGTTGTACATCAGTGGCCCTTGAGAGTATTCACCATTCCTGTTTAAAACACTTGTTTACTCTCTGATTGGAGCGCGTGTTCTTACATGCTGGGAGGAAAACCCAGTGGACAGTGGTAATGACTAATGATGGGGGTTTGGGTAAGAACAGAACATTGGTGCCTGCTTGATAGGGATTCCCTCTGGTGAGGATTGAAGCCACTGGAATGGAGCGGTGAAACTCCGTCAGAGATCAGATCGTTTGGGAGCTTGTAGACTAAATATGTGCTAGTTAACTGCTGTACAGCAATGTACACAGAATGAAGGATTCCAAAGAAAACAATGACATAAAAACGAGTGATGACTATAAATCTATTCAGAATAAAACTTTATTCCATTTATAGACTCAGCCATGCATTAGCATATAAAACTTAAAAATTCTAACTGTAAAATGGAAGACATCTGGATTATTGGTAGGTTTCAGAATAAAGTACATGATTCATCTCAACCTTATTATCTCCTGGTTGGTTCACTTGACTCCATGTACGTTTGTATGTGATTCAGATTTCAAACATTATCTTCCCAACCATGATAACTACATACACAGCTGAGTAATCCTGAAGTATAATATGGTAATGTCCAGGAAAAGTGCATATTCCCAGCCCAGAGATCAGCTTGCTCTCTGAAAATTGGTATTTTCCATATAGTGGTGACTGAAATCAGAGTTAAAACAGCAGTCAGACCCTGTCTTTCTGTCATTTTCAGTGAGGATTCAGAAGAAAAAGATGTGAAGACTAAGAAAGATGATTCACACTCGGCAGGTAACTAACTACATTGTACTGATGGTGTATCTTCAAATTAAAGACCAGTTTGTAAGAGTTACAGGAGTAGGATTTGACATAGGAAAGAAATTGTTCTGACTAGAGAAGCAATGTACTTTTCTAACACACTTGTCTTAAGCTGGATGCTGCCTCTACTGCTGTTACTTCTGGCCCTGGTTTGGGATAACAGAGATTTTTTTTGTGTGTGTGTAATATGATGCTGCTGTAAAGTTTGTCTTCACAGGTAGATGTGTGTTAAGCTCTTCCCTGTAGTTCTCGTCCATATTTCTGAATGATACAAGAAACTTCATACTCGTACCTTTTCCTTCCAGATGAAGATTTTGGCAGTGAAGATGATGACCTAGGAGCAGATGATGGCAAAGCTGACAGTGACTATGAGAGCTCTCAAAAAAGCAAAAAAGGAAAAAAGGCTAAACCAGAAAAGAATAAGAGAGCAGCCTCCAAATCCAGGAAAAGGCCTGCAGGTAAAAAAACCAACCAAACAAACAAAAACCCCAAACAAAACAAAAAACCAAACGACCAAAAAAAACCCAAACAACAACAACAAAAAAAGGGTTGCAGTGTCTGCAGTGAAAGATACTGCACAGGATCCTTGTTGGGTGACTACAGAAACATGCTTATTAGGTTGAATGTGACCGTGTTCTCCTCACAGCTGTTATTCAGCGAGTGTCCCGATTAACTTTCTCATGAATGACTTGACCTTTGTCTTGCCCAGACCACCTAACTGTCTTGAGGTAGGATGTATATTCTGTATCTTCATTATGACTTGGTGACTTTTGCTGCAGAGGACAGTGAGGACGAGAAAGAAGACCACAAAAATGTGCGTCAGCAACGACAGGCAGCATCCAAAGCAGCTTCTAAACAACGAGAGATGCTTATGGATGATGTGGGTAGTGAGGAGGAAGAACAAGAGGATGATGAGGCACAGTTCCAGGAGAGTGAGTAAACGGGATTGTAAAAAGTTAAAATCAATGTGACATGGGTATAGTAGCAGACATGAGGTTATGGGTCTGGTCAGACAGCAAAAGGAGCACAGTTTGCTTTTTGACCATGACAGTGAAGACGTAAGTTGTCCTTCTCAGTAACTTACTTGATACTGCATATCTGTCCAACAGACCAAGCTTACATTTTTCACATCTGGAATTTTTGTTCGAAGTTTGCTGCAAAGATGTATGTCTTCATAAGCAGCCATAAAGCATTATTGTAAAGTTCTTAATGCTTTTTGCTGCTTCTTGCTATCCCATTGGTTTTGAGGCATTGATGCTATTTTCAGGTGATGTAAAGGTACTTTATCCTTGATTGATCAAAGCAGGGTGGTTTGTTTCGTCAGAAGAGACGGGTTCAGCCGGTTATGAACCGGAGTAAGTTCCTGAAATACTGAGTGCAAACATGATTTCAGAATGGAGTAAGAGTACCGTTGAAAAGATCACTTAACTTCTCTCTGTCAAGAGATTATCTTTAGTTTGACATGGGTTACTTATTAAGGAGATGAAGCATATTTTGAGGACCTCAAAACACTCGCCTGTTTGATTATACTAGTGCTTTATCCCTACCCATGTAAAATCTTCTGCTATGTCGGATTTCTTCAGCGCAGCTCATGAGATTGCAGAGTCCTAGTTTCTTGTCTCTGCAGTTTAACTGGCAGATCTCTCAACTGTATCTTCAGCTCCCTTTCCTTTTTTCCAAATCTTAAATTTCTTTGTGCTTTCAGCAGATTCAGGAAGCGATGAAGACTTCCTCATGGAAGATGATGATGATAGTGACTATGGCAGTTCAAAAAAGAAAAACAAAAAGGTCTCCAAGAAAGCCAAGCCAGAGAGGAAAGAAAAGAAAATGCCAAAGCCCAGGCTAAAGGCTACAGGTGAGCGTATGCAAAGAAAGTTAACGCGGTTTGCTTTAGAGGCTAGTAGTTTTCCACTATAGAAGACACAGTGGAGATCCTGGGGTTGGTAGGCATTCGCATAGAATGTTGAAAGGTTAATTTATGTAACTTGCCATGATTTAAAGCAGCACTATGAACTAATAAAGTGGCTTTAATTCTTACTGAGAGATTGAGTTAGTATGTATGTCTCATTGGCAAAAACTGCGTAGATTGCAAAACCTTCCCTGTTGAGATGCTGCAGTCTGTGTATCGTAGCCAAATAATATAATTTGTGGCTTTGGGACTCATGGCCTTTGCGATGTTTTCAGGGTGGAGGAAGGTGGGAGAAGTCTGAACCAGAAGAAAGCTTGCTGCATTTCTGTAGGAATTCTAAAATCATAATAGAAACATATGTAGTGGTATGTTAGTTTCTGATGTCATATCCAGCAATTAGTCAGGACTTGCAATTAAATAGTTTTAAAATCTTGTTAGCTAACTTTTCAGTTCAGCTTTACTAATATGGAGTGCAAAAAACACCATGTGTGTGGTGTGGTCAAAGCAAAAGGAAACCTGCTATTGAAGTGTCTTATAAATCCTGTTTGTATGAAGCCATATGACTTCTTTGTCTTCGCTGATCATAACTTTTAAAAGGTTTTTTGGGTTTTGTTTTTTTTTTTCTTTTTTCAGTGACCCCCAGCCCGGTGAAAGGCAAAGGGAAGGCAGGCCGCCCCACAGCTTCCAAGGCAACAAAAGAAAAGACCCCATCCCCCAAAGAAGAGGATGAAGAGCCTGAAAGTCCCCCAGAAAAGAAAAAATCAGCCAGCCCTCCACCAGAGAAGTCAGGGGATGAGGGATCTGAAGATGAAGCACCCTCTGGTGAAGATTAAATGGCAGTTGAGGAAATCTTTGTTTAAAAAAAAAAAAAAAAGAAAAAAAAGAAAAAGGAAAAGAAAACATACTTAGGGGTAGAACACGGTTTTGGCTGTGGCTTGACTCATGGGCTTTGAATGCTGTCTTTACTTTCAGCTGTTTAATACAGTGTATCCTTTTTTTAATAAGAGGAAACCCTTATACAGTAATATTTTGAAGTCAATGTTCTCTGTTGGCCATTCCGTTCTCCCTCCCCCACCAAATCTGAAAGCCATTTGAGACAAATTAACAGACCATTTAAATATATATTTTTTTCAAGGGATACTTCAGTTGTGAAGCAATAAGGTTTGAGACTGATACGTGGAAACCATACTTACAAATCGTTAAGTAGAATAGATTTCCCAGTGCTGGTAAGAGTTCTTTAAAACTATTATTCTGTATTTGAATATGTGGAAAAAATGAACTTATGCTTTAACAGACTTTTGTTGATACAAGTTCACTCTCAGAAAAAATGTAGTTGATATGAATTCCAATTGAGGAAGAGGAAACATGGGGAGGAAACCTGTGTTTCTTGGATTCAGGCATGTTTTTCATGGAAAGCAATCAAGAGATTTATAGATGGTCCACTGTCTTTTATTTGGAAAAGACCCTCCAATTAGGTTGTGGAATCTTTTGTCTTTGCTCGATAGAATACTATTCTGCTTTAGGCAAATTGCAGTTCGTTCCATACAAATTCAGATATACAACCTACAAGCTTCTCACATCCATTAACTCTATTTTATTTCTTCCAAGGTTGGCTATAGATGGGCAGAATAGGGAAGAGAAATTGAAAACAATTTTTAAAACTCTGGTTTCCATTTGGTATTGTGGAAAATGTCTTTAAAGTTTTTTCCAAGGAAAAAACTAGTGGCTAGTGTAAAACTAAATTCTTTAGCTTTTGGGGCAAGGGATGTCCTTTTATAAATGTGAAGGAAAGGATTCCTGTAACGCTCTGGTCAGTCTCGGATCCCATGAGTCACGCTTAAGTGTTTCTCTTCTCTCCCTCCATCTGTCCTCAGAAAGGCTATGTAGTCGTACCTCTCAGCCTCTCCAGCTACAGTGTTGGACAGCAGACTTCCATCGCCAGTGAACATCACCTCGATACCACTTCCATTTCTTCATCCTTCCATCCTACAGTGTGGGAGGCTTTGCTCCCACATCGATATGTCTGCTTCTAACTGTTGGTCATCATTCTGCTCCCTGAGCCTAAGAAGTGCTGAACAGGGAACAGTATTAAAGGATGAAGCTGGGAGGAAGTGGAGTTTGGAAGCAGTGTAGCAGGGCTGTCATTTTATAATAAAAGCAGGATGTCCCTCTAAACGCAAGACACTTGAGATGTATGTGGTGGCATTTTAATGTGGTTTTATCAAAGCAGCCATATCCTTTTTTTTTAAACTTTAATTAAAATACACAAGCCTTGGTTTTCAAACCCTGATACAGAGGTTGCTGCCATGTTTGTTGGTGGAAATATTGAAAACTGGACCTGCCATTTTTCTTTCTTTTTTTTTTTTTCTTAAACCCTTTGTGCTTTCTGTATGTTGCTCACAGTTATCTTATAGCTGACAAGCTTTGCATCTCTTTTTTTGTCACAGAACTACACGTTTTGTAACCAGCCTCTTGAAGGTAACATAAGGCAGCTAATTAGTTGGGTTTCTGGTGCACATGCTACCAGATTTTTAATCCTGTTTGGATTTTAGAGAGCTTTTAGATGTGATACACTAATATGACCAGGAAGGACACTTGGCTGAATGGCATAGGGAGCCTGAAGATGCCGAGCACAGTGTGGAGCCTAAAATGTGGAACGGAATATTAATATAACAGCCAAGTGATTGTCTTGTGTGATTCATAGCCATGGCTTTTATTGAGGCTGGTAAATTACTTTACCTTGGCTTATAAAAATTTAAGTTCTCTAACATTCTTTACTATAATGAAACTACTGTTGCCGTTACAATAAAGATGATCGGTGTTTCCATTGTAAATCTTTTTTTTTTTTTAAAAGTGGTTTAATTTTGCAGAACAGCTTAAGGCTGGAGTGAAGTATCAGTCTTGAAAAAGAAGCAAATGTAATCCCCTCTCCTCTCCCACACCTCTTCCCACCTTCCAGATCTCTGGGAGAGCAGTGTCTCTTGCATTCCCTCTGCTCCTAGTCCAGTGCTTCTTGGGTAATACGGGAAAATAAATGGCCAAGTTTTAAAAAACACTTGGATTAAATTTCGGGGTAGCATACACTTTTGTGAATGTCTGGTCCACATAGTTGTTCCCCTTCAGTCCAGACTATGATCCAAACTATTCTTGTCTATTGGGTTCTTAGGGTTTTTTGGTATTAAAATGTACAAGGATTACTTAAATGTAGAATACCTCTAGCTGATCTGGTCAAACAGCTGTTTCTTTACCTGCTAGACCAGATTTTTTGTGGAGTGTATTTTGTAAGTTCCACTTAAAATATATTTTTGGGGTTTTTTTTCTAACAGTTAACTGAAGTTAAGGCTGTGAAAAATGTTTCAATTGTTCTCAGTTCAAGTTTTGGACTGGATTATTTTATGCCTGGCAATTTTGGCCCTTTATCTTACAAAACTGTTCTGCTTTCTCATATGTTCATCTCTAATGGCTGTTACAGGCTGCATGATGCTTATCTTTGAGTTTGTCACAACCCAAACACTATGTAAATCCTGTACTACATCTGGGATTTTGTAACTTTTTCTATATCTTACTGTTTTGCTGATTTGTGCAAACACTAAGCCCTAACGGTCTCTTGGTTACTCTGTTAGAAATGCAGCAGTTTACATTTTTAGATAGAAGAAAATTGTGAAGGTTAATACATACAAATTTTTTTTTTTTTAGTTCACAACATTTTTCAGTAGCAGCAGACTTAACATTTTTAAACGTCCTTTTTAATTTGTATTAAGCATTCTGATTTCTTGAAGGAAAGCTGTAAAAATGCCTTTCTTTAGGAGCATGAATAGTTCTTCACGGAGCAGAAAGTTTCCTTCACAGAAGAAGGCTTTGAAAAGATTGTCTTCTGTTACACAACTGTAGTTTTGGAGCCTTTGCAGAGAGGTAAATGGATTTATTCCAAAGTTCAGTTAATCCAGTGCCCTGCCCTGGTTTTACTCTTAAGATGGTAGTTCGTAACTAACTTCCATTATATACCCTTTCGTACGTTCTGTTTCTGAATCCACGTCACCATGTTCAGTTTTGCAGTTACATGCCAATAGTCCTGCCTTCAACTGGCCACGAGGCTTGAATAGTAAAAATTTGCAATTTCAGCTGGGATTTCATACTAAAGATTATTTGCTTCAGTTTCTGTTTGATCAGCATGAGAATGCCAAACATGTCAAGCTAAATAGGTTTCAGAATGGATTATGGGTGAGAGCAAGACTTAGAAATGGGGCAGCCAAGAAGCTTTTAATTTTGTTGTTTTAACTTCATCAAAGCAGAAGAGTGTGTGGGGAGCGAAGCAGCACGCCTTGGGTGACTTCTGCTAGGGAGCCTCACCGACGCCAGGTAATGGTTCTGAGCGTGCCACCGCACGGCTGCATCCGCTGGTGATGGATCCGCAGGGTAGTGGCAGAAGATGTGCTTGAATTCCTTTTTTTCTTTTTTCTTTTTTTTTTTTTCTTCCCCTCCGCTGGCAATGGTCGCAAAGGTACAATAGACACTGAGGCACCCAGGTTAAGGAGGGAGGGAAGTAAACTGTAACATGCTGGAAGCTTTTGAGCTGTAGAAACTGGTGCTTTGCTTTATGTAATTTGTTTGTGAAGTGTTTATTTTTATAACAGATCATATTGTTGAACACGTGGTTCTTAAAAACTACAAACTGATCCATGAGTTTAATATTTGAGAAGTGGATGTTCATCTGTTGGGGGAGGCAGGATATAAAAGCGCAAGCAGATGGATATTTAAAGGGACACTGTCACAAAATAGTTGCTGGCATATAGGATATTGTTAGTTTGGGGGACTCGCATCTATATGTGAAAATTATATATTCTATATGTATATGATCAAATAGAAAATTTTCCCTGAACTTTGAATATTTTCCTGCAGTTTTGGGAGGTTTAAATACAAGTTCTGCTAATGAAACTAGAAAGCAAAACTAACTATTATGTTCTTGCTGTCCGAGATTACTTTTTTTTTTTTTTAAAGTACTATGAGGAACATCAGAGCTCTGAAAGATGACAGTGTCCTTTCGAGACCTCCCCAAACCAAGTGTATCCTCGTTTTAGACTTCCCACTTCAGTAGATGACTGGCATTTGAATGTCTTTTCATTGAACTCTTTATATTAAAAACAAAACACAAATATTTCTAAGTCTAGTCAAGTTCTCGCGATGTGCTGACTGTATCAACCACTATAGGAGATGACTCTCTAGACTGCCTGCCCCCTTCGGCTGCGGTGAATCGAGTGGGTCCATCGGTCTGAGCATGCTCGGTGTGACTGCAAACCACCATTGTGCATATGCTTTGTATATTGGGGCGAGGGTTTTTTATATATATATTTTGGGAGGGGGAGTGGGTGGGATGGAGAAATACTCGATCAGCTTAAGCCAGAATAATGTGTGTAAAAGCCCCTGAAGTATTTTGTGTGTGAGTGCGCGGGTGTGAGTGCGCGCATGGGAGTGTCTGACATCTTATTCCCTTTGTGTTCTGAAGATTTGTGAGTTTTACTTTTTTTTTTTCTGCAGAAGCAATTGTTACAATAAATTGTAAATAAGAGCTACATAATTTTTGTTTAACCATGAACATCATGTCACAGCAAACCCTGAATAATCACTTTGAAGGTAGAGGAGGAGACTCCAGGTAGGGCCTTGGGCCATTGGCCATCAGCAAGGCATCGTTACATGGTATGCAATGAATATTTGTCTTGAGTATTTGCAATCCCCTGTTGAGCTTTTCTAAAAATCAGGCTATTTGCAGTTCCCCTCGCCATCCCTTTTAATTTTCTTTTTAATCTCGAGAGCAGACAGAAAAAGGGGCAGCTGCAAACGGTGTTCCAGTGCTGCTGGCCCGCAGTTGGTGCGTGTGCACGGACGTGGCTGTCATCACTGGGCCCGATAGCGTTGGCAGCTCTTGCAATACCTTGACAATACGGAGATCTACCGCATGGTACTAGGAGTTAAGTCTGAATGTAACATTAATGCTTTATTTAAAATAAAAACAACACTTTTTTTTTTTTTTAAGGGGTTGAAGTGAACATGACTGTTGACCATGTTCGTGAATTTATAGATGCAACATTCATTGGTAGAATTGTGTGATGGTCTTTTGTGCTACTTAATTTTACATATTCCAGTCTCTGTATGTACCTGCAAAGAAAGGAAAAAAAAAAAAATAACAAAACCCTGCTTTGCTTTTATTGAAGGGTTCCCAGGACTGCATACCTGCTCCTGAGCTCTGTTTTAAGTATGTGTATCCTTTGCTTGTATTT